AATGCTAAATGGTAAGTATTGAGATTTGAAATGATTATCGATAATAATTGAGTCCGTCGTATTCTCCAGTCCAGTCTCGCCATCTGTCGTCCAAGTCTTCATTTTTTATGCTTCTCTAGGCAGTTGTTCGTTTTACTGTTGTTAAAGCTTTTATTAGACGTCAAATTAACGGCTTACAAAAAGAAGACTGTAAATAAATGAAAAATGCTCAAGAAATTCAAAGAAGAAAGAAAATTAGGTAAGCCGTAACACCAATTTTCGCTTCCAGCCTCAAAAACCAAGTTTTCGATCGGAATAAAAGATAATAGAGAATTTTCGGTGGTTTCTTTAAAACTGCTGTTTACTAAGAGAGCGGTGTCATTTCCACAGATGTTTAGTGGTTTGTTACATTAAATAAGAATCTTTAATGCCTAAAATCATCCAAGCCACTGTAATGGACGAAAAATCACTGAAAGAATACTAAGTACTACCCACAAGTTTCCTTTTTCCTCTTTACTTTCCACGGTATGATAATGCGCATTAGCAATTTTAAATTCGCTTCAGTGATTTTGATCGCTCATCTTAGTAAATCCAATTTATCAAAACCTAGCAGTTCCCTTTTTTGAGGAAACGAATTTTTGGAAGATATTGAGCAATTGAGCTTAGTGGTATGAGCTTAATATTTTTGAAAACATTGTAACACCTTTTTTCAAGAACTGCATTTCAACTTCTCGTCTTTTAAAGTCAATTTTTTCATTCCTCAGATGAGTCCGTCGTTTTTTTAGTAAAGGAAAAAGCGGTCCATAATGGTTAGAATGAAGATGATAATCCTAGCTCGTTTTCTGGAAGGATAAAGCAATAAGCTCTCCATTGGCTAAAGCACCAAATTTACAAGTACGACCGCTTCTGATTAGCCTACAAAATGAAAATGAATGAGATATTGCACCTCTAGCAAATTGTTCAACGCCGTAAATTTTAGTCCTGAACCTCACTTTTCAATTCGCCATTATTTTTTTTCTTATATCAAATTGCTGTCTTGTGTCTATAATTGACCACACTTTACTGACTTTTCTACGACGTTTAAAATGATTTCCTTCATCTTTATTCCTCACAAATATTGTAAGAGAAAAATGGATACCGAGCGCTGAGCCAAAGTTTATAGATTTCGGCGATAAAGCTTTTTTTCTAACAGCTTCAACCTCAAAACATCTAGGCGAACTATAGAAGAAGTTTCACTTCCAAATTGAGTAATTTCTGAAGGCTTTCAGTGTCTTCTATCCAATGCATTACTTAGATTTGACTGCTAGATGGCTACCACTAAAGTAAAAGCATGTCGAAAGTATTGAAGAAAAACAAAGTTAAATTCTAAGCAGTACTGATTATTGTTGTGTGAAAACACTTTCCATTTCTACATATTGAATTCACTGCAATTGTAACCGTGAGACTTAGACTGCGTGATAAGCTGAAAAGATCGACCGGCACATAAATCAATCTCATTACATCTGTAGATTGAATAGCCTCAACGCGAAAAAAAATTCATTTATCATCGGAAACGCCGTGAGTCTCCGATACCGAGCGTTAAATGAGTCCCTAGTTTTAACCTCAAGTGTACTTTGTAACGGCCTCTGAGAAATCCCCTTCTTTTTTCTTGAGTAAGAAAATTCAGCTGTGCAACGCGCAGTAAGCGATACCTACGAATGGAAATTTCTGGCTTTTCTGACTACTTTATAGCTAGAGGAATTGTTATACAGTTGCTAATTTAAGTTATACAGTCCGGTGTTTTGCAAATATTTCAGCTTTATATACAGTTGTTAATATTCATGAGGAAGGGATTGATTTTATATGCCCACTCAAGCTCAACGGAACGAATATATCCGAATGCTCCAGTTATGTCTATCTAGGTCGGAAAATCAAATGTTCAACGATTTAACTCCAGGGTTGAGCAGAAGGAAACGAGCGGCATGGAGAGCTTTCAGGAGCGTCGGTGATGTAGTGAAAAAGACTACCGCCTTTTCGACTCAACGGTACTTCCTGCCCTAACGTATGCGTCTGAAACCTGGTCAGTGCGTAAGCAGAATGAAAGATCATTGAGCGTTATTGAGCGCGCAGACGAAAGGACGATGCTAGGAATGTCCCGTGTGACACAAGTAAGAAAAGGGATCGGAAGCTCAAACATACATCAACGATGAATAATTCAAAATGCCATTCTAAGCGCCAAACAGTCGATGATAAGGTAGGCCGGACACATAATGCGTATGAATGACAACCGATGGACAAGAGCCGTTAGTGACTGGTTTCCTCGGAATGTCAAACGTGCTACAGGAAGACCAACGACCCCATGGTCAGAGTATCTCACAAAGAGCCTTGAAGAAAGATGTGATGCTCGGCGAGTCCCTAGAGCGAGCAGGACCAACTAAGGGGATACTCTTGCGCGTGACAAGGAAAAATGGAGGATTTACTGGCTCCCGCTCAAGTCACTCGACGATCAGGGGGCTACAGGTGGTAAAAGTGATACAGTTGCTAAAAGATTAAAGATGTGGAAAAATGTCTTAGAATTTTGCGGTACTTATGGCTTGCTAGTTTATCATCTCGGCAACGTCGTGCTTTCGTACAGCATATGTGATTAAGATCAGCCACCGTTAGCCGAAGAAATGTAGTGTCGTTCACATATAATATCTACTTGAGTTATCCTCAACAGCATTGACAGAACGATGGTGAGCGGCATTGGTGCAAGCACACAGAATATCGAAAGCGGTTCAGTATAATTCTTCATGTCTGCGCTTTTGCAAATATATGTGAACTACCGTGTAAAAAGAAGATACCGCCTTATTTCAATTCAGACTAAGTAGGAAGGGGGTTTCTAATTATTGAAGCCGAAAACGGTAGCGAAAAGGCGGACAATTCGAGCACGTCTACTCGGCGTTCAAACAATTGTTATAAACTCCGGAGCGGCTTCACAAGAAAATTACGTTATTTATGGAACGATTACTATGGTAAAAACAGGGGTCCGAAATAAAAGCGTCATTCTGGGCGTGGAACATGATGGTACAAAGATGAAAATTGATGGTGGAGAGGCTCATAATCCTTTACTGATATGCGTCATTAAGCACGGACCAGAAGCAATGCAGACCAAAATTGATGGCGCGTACCGAGACAACACTTTTTCTTAACCTTTGCTTTACGACATTGGTGTTGTACGCAGTTTTTCCTATGCTCCATTCACGCTTAATGAAAGGAACATATCCTAATGTTCGAAGTACGCGTACCTTGGTCCGATAATCAACATGGTGAACAACTTAGCTCGTAAGTTGAGCACGTGGAAATGGGCTGCTTCGGGAACTTAAAAAGTGCGACGTGGACGCAAGAAGGGAGCAATGAACACCCATGTCGGCGTTGAACTTTGCGACATTGCTGTTGCTCCAGCTTTAAAGTAGACCACAGTGCCCTAAAGGAATTTAAGCAAAACGCTTTAAAAGAGGGTGGAATTCGAAGTTCCAAAGAACCTGGTGCGAAACGCGATGAGGTTGGGGAACAGCGCAGATTTTACTCGGATGCTTTCATCACTTCCAATATATAGCTGTTGCTCCAGCCTAAGGCTGTAGACCACAGTGCCTCTTTTTAGTTAATAATCATCTTTATAAAGGCATCGGAAGAAAATGGTGATAGGAGTCTGGCATTTCGAAATACATCAACGTCTTCTGAAATTTATAAAAAGCAAATTTTCAGTGTCCATCGAAAAGCCCATCCCAACTAGGAATTCCGGCGAAGTAGGAATGGAATCCGTTGCTACGATTAAACTCCTTAAATCGTATTCATTTGGTTTAACGTTTAGCAACACATTTCGCTGTCTACCGATAAAAACTTTACAGGTTTAAAAGCACATATCAAAATTCCCAGTTAAACTAGTAAACAAACGCTTTAGAAACTGAGGGTTTCCACTGTATCGTCGTCGCAACATACATTAAGCAACTAAGGATCTACACTTCATTGTTTCCGCAACCACAGTTGGTCAACCTACGCCAGATCTCTATGCACCTGCTAGATCATACTGATACTGGCTTCTACAAGATAGATTACTTTCGTGAAAAGATTAAGGCTGCCTTGGTGAGAAGATTATCAGTGGATAATTGTGCTTCACTCAAGAAATAAACTCCACTGAACTGGACTCAATTTCATAACGAAGATCCAGATTTCAAGCAGCAACTTTGTGAAGACTTCAACGCGTATTCATGAGCGTATAATAGCAGTAAGGATTTTTTAACGACCCTGAAGTTAATCCTAAACACCAACACCATGCGATGTATGCTTTTTACTGAACCAATTGTGATAGAAAACTTCTCGTGATACTTTTTTCCCGCTTTTTGAAGCAATGGCAACTACAATGGATGAAGTTGTCGATATATTAAAACTCTATCCTTGTTTTAGCAAGCTAAAGCTCTTTCTGAAAAAGGAAATTGGAACCAACAATTGTAATCTCTATCTCTGCGTGTTCTAAGAGCACCTAAATCTTCATTATTTCTGTTCTACGTCTTCGTAGTAGGCGGCTTTGCGGTTTTCAATAGTAAAGCGCAATTTGCCTAACATTATAACAACAACTAAGTAAATGATAGAGTACCATGATTTGACTAAACAAGGCGATAGGTCAAGCACTTGAGCTCTTAGTTAGGCGAAATCCCGGACAAAATAGTATATTATCTCTGCGAAGGAATCGTCATTGTGCCTACTCATGATCAGTGTTTTTTGTTTTGATCATATCTTTAGCTTCTGAATAATTTCGTAGAATGATTAAACGCTGGTGACGGCATTTCTCTGCGAAACATCGTTTTCCATGTAAGTTCAAATATAGACTCATGTGCTGAAATGCATCTTCCAACCAAGAAATTGCGATGACGATGTCCAGAATTGTGCTAACGTGTAAAATCAGGTTAACATTTATTCGAAATGAAAACCAATAATGCTTATAATGGCAGCTGCTGGATTATATTTGAATGAGTAAAATAAATTGAAGAATAGAGATGACAATGCCTACTAAGTGTCAAGATCGGGTAGGGGAACAGATGTTACACAAGGTATAAGGCAATGCACAGGTGGTAATGAAGATAAGACTTACATGTAGCCTTTTTTATGCGAACAGACCACACCATGCGATGGTGCAGCGGTTATATAATTTTGAAGTCCGCTATGATAGCTTAAATCCTTTTCACACTGTATCCAACATTCCATGGTCCAAACAAAAAAAGATTTAAAGAAAGTATAAGTGAAGTTGGTAAGTATAGAAATGCAAAAAATTTGATGTCTAATAACCAAATTATCAGTGCTAGTGTACCGATTTCCACGATTGGGTAGACAGCAACTGTATTGCGAAGCTTGGCAATATATGGCACTAAGTTACTCACGTGTAAATAGGAACATGTTGAAATATATACATGAATTAAAAGCTCTACAGGTTATGGTTTTTAATACTAATCAGATAAACTGTGTAGAGTTTAAAAGTAAACAATCCTTAGTTTTTACGGTTTATTTCCCAAGTTAAACGTGTGGTCTGTGTGCTATTGTCTTTGTCTGATAAGACCAGGCATAAAGATGTTGTCGAACATTCCGTTGAATGGGTCGAAAAAAGTAACCGCACATCATTTTTGTTGAGGCTAACGGTGTATTTCATACAAAAGCCTAATGAGCAGATGACATTATTGCAGGTTGAAGCGACTTCGTTTGCTGCAATGGGCGGTCGTGGTGGTGGTTGCGGAATCGGCGGTGCCAGCGGAGGCGTCGTTTCGCATGTCGGCTTTCCAGTCACGCCCACGTTAGCTCTATCGGCGGTCGTTTCTTCGATGCCTATTGCAGTCATAGGTGGATCTAAAATTCGACGAAACGATAAGAATACACCGGACAAGACATCGAGCGATGACAGCGAGTCCAATTCACTTGGAGAACGAGCACCATCGAAACTAACGCTTGATGACGAGTTATTCGACATACTCTATGCGTTCGGGTGAGTTACGAACGAAACGCTTGTATCATTCAGCCTTTACCAAGTTACGTTTTCCAAAGTAAAATGCGCTGCTTTTATAGAGGTTAGTGCAATAGAATATTGTCCCAGTTGCACTTTAGGACATCTTTTTTGAGGAGATGCTTTAAAAGCGGTATACTCACTTCCCCCAAGGTTTCTACAGATATTGATAAGTGGTTCATGAAAGGGCAACTAGGATGTCGACAATACGAAAATTTAAAGCTATTTTTAAACGATCTTTACAAAATCGGATAATTTTCTGGCTTAAATCTAAAACTCTTGATAAGGAACATTTCAGTGAAAAAACAACTTTATTGAGATGTCCATGCCATGCCGCGCTTTCACATCCTCCGCTGCACTTTGGGCTCTGTAGGACTCTTCTGTACCTCTAGTTGCAAAATATCTGTTTAAGATGTCTGCTTCATCTTTTTTACTGTTTTTTTATAAACTTAAATAAATGCAAAAGCATTAAGTTGTTCTCAATTTCATCACTAGAGATCACTTTCTAGGTGGCCCGCAGAAATCATTGCAACGATTACATGAGATGGGACTAAGATGGTAAACTAACAAAGCCCAAGCCTCATCAATTCGTACTTATTTAGCATTTACTAGCTATAGTCCTTTCAAGGATTTCCTCTTGTGTATTCCAGTGTTCACATACTCTACCGCTACAGTGCATCCACTTTCATTCACATGTTAGTTCACTGTAGAAAACGCTGCAACCATGAATTATTTAAAAAAACAAATCCAAACCACTAAGGAAATATTAGATCCCTTTTCTTAAACCTAGCTGAAGTAAAAAATCTATATTTGTTTCTAAAAGTGTGCGATGATTTAGAACACGTCAGGGAGAACTAGAAGACTCAAGGCGAAGACAGATATTTCTAAAGATGTGTGCTGAGGAACATTTTGAGGAGAATGGTGCTGCTGAGATGTTTTTGACGTAATGAAATTTTCTAAATGTATGGAGCAGTGAATTACTTGCGCACTACCCATATCCATGAGTATCGCAATGAAATGGACAGGAAAAACTTCTCCAACTCTGATCAAATTTCATTAGTGTTATAAAACAAGCCTCTGAAGGGAAACGTACAACCTTGGAGAACACAGCATAAATTTTAGTTATTTGAAGCAACGTTTAAAGCAATATGGATTAAGAAAGACATTATTGCCCACCACAATGTTACAGCATCGTGGGTCCTAAGGAATAGAAATTGGCGGCACCTTTTACGGCATTCATAGTTTCCACCTCTTGGCCTTCGTATATGGGCAACACATTCCGAAAGCTCTCACGTTGTTTTATTTTTATGCTTTTTGTTTCGACATTGCTTAGTTTATCTATCTAACCTTTTCAGACTTTTTTGCCATCCTTACCTTATCATGTACTCTTTTCGAAGTCGAAATTTCTCTTGCTTTGCGATTTTTTCTTGTTTGTTCAAGGATACGCTTTCTCTGTCGAATTAGCTCTTTCTTTCTCGAATTCAATAATTCGGTCATACATATTGAATACTAAGGAGAATTTTAAAGTGCTAGAAACTTTGAAGGCGTCTCAATCCAATTGCTGTATGAGAAAAAAGTGAGACGAATGAGATTGAAACGCATCGTTCACAGCTGCCAGAAAAAGAAAGAGAAAGACTCAATCTAAATACATTGCATGTGCTAAATTGTGGCTACCATTCAATCTCAATAGATAAGATTTGCCTTTAAACCACTTAATCCCTCGGTCCGCTCTTTTAAAATTTTTAAAAATTTTTTTTAATAAACATCATGCGGCCTACCTTACATTCATTCATAGCAGTGAAATTTAAGTGGTGATTATTTTCGTGATTATGCCTCTTATTTTGTCCTCTACAAGTGTCTCAACTAATCTCAAGAATCGTGGTGGTCACCCTTGCAGCTATTACCTCTGAAGGAATCTCAGTCCTAACATTTCTATTTGTCTGCAGAAACTTCACCATTGCCATCAGATTTCATGTCCACCTTTTGTTTAGGAGCTATTAGTTTAAATCGACAATGAAATGGAGTTCAAGCATTCCTCTGAGGACATTCTCGTGATATGTGTTGTTAAGAGAATTGACGAGTATTTGTGTAACTCGACATTGTCGTGCCCTAAGCACCACCACCGGCTTTTTTCCATGGCATATTCATATAAAACACCTGCATCACTGGCAATGTAAGTTATTAGTTTAATGTCATGTCGTTTCTTTACCAGTGCGAGTTCTCTTCCACTTGTCCATCTGTCATCATACAGAGCTACCAAATATGCTCGAATAGTTGGAACCAGACTTCTTTTATTACTCTGCTTAGCCAATACGACAATCGACAAGCAAAATTTTTGATAAAAAATCATCTTTATTTAACTTCATAACAGAACTTTTTACGGAGGCAATCTGACTCTAGTTTTTATGAATCAACAAGTGTTTAATGATACGCCCATAAAATCTTTCTCCAACAACTCATTTCTCATTAGATTAACAAGCTACTCGTCGATGTGTTCAACTAACTTACTATCTTTTCCACTAATTCGTGAACAGGGGCTATCAGGCTCGTTGAATGCTGCTTAGTACAAATCACATTTGAACTTTTACGTGACATGATCGTCTGAGTGCATTTTATATGATTTTTCCAGTTTTGAATGTTAACTCCTGCTTTTATCGGGTTTCATACTTTGGTATGGTTCTTCTATTCTTTTCTTCTGCGCCTTCACCATTATGTTCCTTTGTTTGACGGATGAAATAGAACCCACCCACAAGGAAGTTTTGGTTTGGTCTTGAAGAAGTAACTCATTCTAAAAAAAGCATGAAGCAAAGACAATTAGTAAGTTTGCCGAAGTTTAATTTTCATAAGATAATCCAATAATCGATTCACTTCAAACTACTTGTCAAGAAAAGAATTTCGAAATAACGATGAATGTGGCATTCTATCAGTATCATTAGCGAATGAAGAAGCAGCAACACGTGCTTCTTCACCATACGGAACCTTTCGAAAAAAAAATTTTGCACCAAATCTTCAAACTGTTGTCGAATTATGTTGTTCACACTCTTGATGACGTTATGGAGACTGGTTGAGACGAGTAAACAGAGACCGACTTGGTAAAATTTCTATTCGAGAAATATTTCTCCACTTCTAATTCTTTATGTTAACAAAGGCTCTGTGACAACCCTAAATAGTGTATGGGATACAAGATGTAACGGCGAGAGGTCTCTAAATCATTCTACCAAAGCCACGAGGGACACAACAGTGTTGATCGTAAAGTGATAATTCACAAATCATTAGTGCTACCAGCCATTTTAAACCACAGGACCTCTCACTTTCTATCGTGAACAAGAAGATTCATCTCTGCCACATGCTCAATCTCAACACAGTTTGTTGGTTTGGAGGAAAATTCTGTTAACATAAGACTTTTGTCGCTCTATACTTTTGATATAGGGAGAATGCATGGAAGTTGATAACACAGCTATGCTCACAAAAAAGTCATAAAAACTGAGCGTACGCAACTGTAGATTCTCATTGTGCTTCATTAAATTTCAAGATGCCGACTTAAACCAAAATATATGAAGATGACTTCGTAAGTGGTACTATTGTTATTTGTGTTTTGATTGAATTAATGGTTGGCTGCGATTCCTACTTCAGCCCAATAGAAGCAGCAACGTAAGTGTTTGAAGTGTATTTGCCAATGGAAGTGTTACGCCCAATGTTATGGAAACCTCAGTGACCTCCCCACTCCTCATGAGCATAGATTCTAGCGATGGCGCGTGCGCTGAGCCTTCGTTCATCACAGAGCGATTTCAACTTTCTTCATCATCTATTCCTAAGGTAATCAGTTTTTAATTGCTAAACAGATTACCATCCTTATTTAAGATTAGCCCCTAGATGTCGTCGTTGACCAAATTTCATGTGTTTTCATTCTATTATGCGATTACTGAGAATTTGACTTAGAAGGAGACGTCCTGACTGAATACTAACTAATCACATCAGGATAATTGCGAAGTTCTGTGATAACCGCCTCTTTATTTCGACGTCGATTTTTTGATTGAAAATGGGAAAGCGGTTGTTTGCTTGCATCGTCAAAGACCTTCTACGACGAATTCCGTTCACGCCTAATCGCTTGGGATTTGGCGCGAACATATGTCATCATGAATAATATGGACTTAGAGCCGAGAGCAAAACTGATGAGCGTTTGCTAGCACTTTTTGATTTATACGAATACCAATGATATTTGCATCGTTGTTATAAGGATTCTCCGCAGTGCATGAGACAGAACAGTTGGCTTCAGCGAGTTATCAATGAGAGTGCCATCTATCAAAATCATCATTTACTATATCGCTTTTAGTGTGGGATATTTATTATCTCTTAGTTATTTTTTATTGTAAACACATAAACTTAATAGATTAGAAAAATGTTGTTTTCAATATTTTATTTTTAATGCAGTGAGCGTTACTTATGATACCTCGGGTGCTCACACTGTTCGATCTTATTCAGCTTGCTCCAGAGTATACGCTTTCGTTTTACCCTTGGGAATGGTTCATATTTAACATCCGTATTTGATTTTCTCTTAAAATATTGCAATTAATTCCAATCTTTTACATTTATCTGACAGTTATTAGTTCAAGTCTGAATTTTATGATATACTGGCATCGAATGCTGTGCATTTCCTATGTTCCCCGCCAATATTCGGTTGCAGCCGGTAGACAGGATATGTGGGGCTAACCATTGCCGAATAAGGTGGACTGAATCGGTTTGAAGGTTGGTGTATAGCTCTGAAAGGCCTACTATTGCTAATGACTGCGTGGTCGACCAGTAGGGAAAAAAGTGACGGCCGGCGAAACAATTCATTTTCGAAATCGGTTTCTGTCAATGAGGTGCTCAATCATTGCCGTTCCTTCTAATAGGGCATACGTTGTCTTTTCCATGACCCGTGAGGTAAATACCTCGGCTAGCAGTAAGCCTATTGAAGAGAAAACACGTCAAAGCAACAAGTGAATGAGTCACTGCCATAACGGCTAAGAGAACAATTTCCATTTTTGGCGTCGCTGTGCCATGCTAGTTCAACCGTTACTAAAGCATTGAGAATTTCAGCTTTGATGGAATAGCTGAACATTAAACTGACAATTAACGACAATTTTGTCGACAGTTCCAGTTTTATTCATAAATCCAATTTGTGGTAAATGGCTAACTTCTCTTTGTTTGGTTGCTATTCTAAAACGAGCTGAGAAAATCTTTACTGGAACTGACTTCTTAACGAAACCACATCCATCTGTATTTTCAACCTCGTTGTTTTTCAGACTAAGAGATTTTTTAGTCATAGCGGGGCTAAATATTCCTCACGTAGCGTTAAAATGTGCTACACTATGCTATTATTCCTTTCACACAAATCAAGCAAATGCGCACTTGTTGGTCTAGAATTACAGTGCACAACCTTTCCAGTTATTTTCGTGCTTCATCGAGCCAGTGTTATCTCTTCAAAAAAAAGAGCTGCTTCTATGAGGCCTCCTGAAACTTGATTTACCAGCACTTGGTTTTGGTATATGTAACGCTAATGCGAAACACACGTGTTCTATAATTTTGTTTCTGTAGTTACTTAGAATCAGTGGCGAAATAGACTTGAAAAATGTTAACATAACAATTGGACAACGACATTTCTACGGATGGAACTCGAGTGTGATGAGGTGAAGAAACGGATGTTGAACGAACGACGATTTGAAGGTGAACGACCTTTGCGTAATTAAAAGCGAAAGTATTCCTCCGCATAGTTAGCAAAATGATATTGTAGTGTTCGAGTGCTAAAAATTCTCACATTTATCACATAGAAGTTCCTTCAAATGGTTGGTGTTATCGTACACTGCGTAAATTTTGGAAAAACATGAAGATTCTTCTACTAATTCACTAAAACAGTAAGCTATTGTTATTTCAATGAGTATGGTTACTATTAAGACGAGTCTCTTTA